GCAGCAGGCAGCAGGCAGCAGCACCCGTGCTACAGCAGTACCACACATCGTACTTGCCCAACCGGACGCGCAGCTTACCTCTGGGTTATTAGCAGCCGGGTTGGTGGTGGCAGAAGAACGTGTCCTCAATCCCTCATGCGAACCCTGGATGGCGGCGATGACGGGGCAGGACATAACCCTGTCTGCCCCGCAACCCCCGCTTCCGCCGCCTTGTGGTATGCCGTTCTTCCGAGCTGCGTTTCGCTTGCCCGCCATGATGGCGTCAGCCTTTTCGCGGGCCAAGTTGGACAAAACCACTTCGCTAGCCTCGCAGTAGCCTGTGTTCTCCGCGGCTTTTCTGCCCTTCCTCTTGCTGTCCAACAAGGTGGTGCGAAGCTTGATTCCTCGTTCGTGTGGGGACCACTTGTGGATAACCTCGTATCTTGTTTGGCCAGCATACATGATGCGTGTACATTCGCCAGCGGCAGTCACCGCTGGGCCCTGGCCGCGCAGCATTTTCAAGCCCGCTTCCCACCACCACTTTTTGTCTGACCAACTTTCTGAGTGGCTCTACCCCCCCTAATTCGACCAAGCGGAATCGATTGGCGACGATTCCCGTGGCGAAAAAGTTCGGCAATGCGGCGAAAAAAAAAGTTCGGGCTGAAGGGGAACTTTTTTTTTTTGGGAACTTTTTTTAAACGTCGTTTTTGGGCGTTTGAGAACGATCTGCGAAGTCAATTTTTTTTTTTTTCTTCTCCGAGGTGGGAAAGGTGATTCGTCTTTAGCTCGGAACCCGCCAACGGTGGGAAACGTGGTGACCGCAGCACCGAGGAGACCGAGCCAGATGTTGGAAGCCCTCATCGTGACAGAAGGTGGTATCAGATGTCACCCTGCTTGGCGTGAAAAGCGTGGGCGAGCGTGGTCGACCGCCGTTCGATTGCTGAGCACGCGGGACGTCGTGGCAAAGGGTGAGTCAGGATGATGGGAGAAGAAGCAATGTGCGTGAGAATAACAACATGCCCGCGTTTCAATCTTCTTTTGTTTCGACGGTTGGCGCCCGGGCGTCTGCTACTTTTACACACTCGTATCGCGGCTCTTATTCGTTCCCAAAGAACCGGTGTTGGTTGTGTATGGCAGACAGACTGCACAGCTGGCGATACCTCAGGAGCACCCTTCCTATAATAACAATAATAGTGATAGTAATCGAAAGTAATTAGTAGTTTCGCTTTGGATATCTTGGCTTCGGATATATGTCTAGACTAGTAGGCCCAAACCATCAGACTGTAGTCTAAGCTCTCGCGGTTCGTATACTTTTAGTTCATCATTTCAGGGGCAGCTCCGTAGCAAGCAGCAGTATACTTACAGGATCTAAATTTGAATTAGATTGTACATTAATTATTTATTTCATCATTTGCTAACTCTTGTTGAGTTATGTCTAAACCAAAAACAAAAGATAAAACAAAAGAAAAAAATAGTAGAAATAAAATATCAAATTTTTAATTATTTTGTTTTAAGAAGTACATCGAAAAAGACGGGATATGAACCCGCGACCATCGACATGACAATAAATAAGAACCGACACTCTACCAACAAATACTGCTGTACACACTCCAAGTGTGCGACATAGGCTAATTTTTAAATTTCTGCTGTGCAAACCTTTGCGCATGTGCGCTATCTTTCCCCAATCCTCGTTGTTCGTTGCATCACAGTGTTGGTGACATCTAAGAGCCCCACCGTGTAGACCTGAAGGCTACTACTACTGCTACCGTGAGTCTAAATACTAGCAACACCTTTACCCGGTTCGAGTTCCACCGTCCCACCCCCCTCACCCACAAACACGACGGGAAAAACATAGCCCGCAATCTACCGAAAGCGTAGTGCAGACCTACACCTTTACACTACATACAGTAGTTAGTGAGCATGCTTGTACTGGTCTACTTCTTCAAGTAATACTTGACATACCTATGCCGCATATTACACAAGATACACAACTCCTTGACCAATTTTTCAAAGCTCGATTTCTCAACTGCAGGAACAGTCACAGCGCCGAAAACGGCGGCGTTGAAACCGTCTCGTCGAGAGCTGTTCGAAAATGTATCGTTTCGTTTATGCATCCTCTTCGTCGTGGAGTAATCGAGCTTTGAAAATAATCGGTCCAGGGGGTTGTTATCTTGTGGCATATACGGTAGTTGTCTGCAGATGAGGCAGTTTGCTCGTTTGCGCCCTAGCATCATAACCTCACAGCAAGGCTACCCGTTCCGAGATATATTCTCAAGGAGCAACGTGTCCGGGCGACGCGGGACTGCTGTCGCACTGCTGTCTCACCGACCTACTACTGTACTGAAGTTTACTCCTGGACTAGACTAGACCACAAGAATTTTCAGAGAACACTACGCGGTGCGGAGATTCATCTGGTATCGACGAACATGCATTCGTCGACGCGTCATCACAGCATTAGGAATTTCGACAGGCTGCAGTGTTGCAGTGGCGGCGGCTGATGTTCACCGCGAGGGTACACTCTGCCGCTTAAATAGGACTCTACAGTAGTGGCAGAACTCTGTAGCTGCAGCCCTTACTCTTGCGTGTGTGCACAATAGTTTTCGCCGATCCCGTTTTTCTCGGCCACCACCGTCGTATCCAATCCGCCCCCCCCCCCCCCCCCCC